AAACAAGAATAAAAAAACTATAGATTCAAAGTAAACAACAAAAACCCAAGAAGAGAAATTTACCTGTTAGTGAAAAACATCCCAGCGCTGAAGCAGCAAACACAGAGAAAAAGAGCCAATTTCCTTGACACAACATTCTTCGCGACAAACTCTCCTCTACTCTTCAAAGACATTATTATTTTTTCTCCTCACTTCTCAAAATTATTCAAAATGACAAGGAAAATTTTAATATTTCATTGTTGTTTGTTTGAAACTCACACTGTTCTTCCTCAAAAGAGAGACAAGCTGAAAGAGATGCACAGTGTATAGACCAACTGACTGCCGACTTAACAACCACAAGTTTGACAAACCACCAACGTTAGTTTCCATAAGAGTAATGAAAGTATATGTTTGGACTTTGGACACTAACTAGGAAGTAGTTTTTACTTTCATTTAGAACTAGCCTGTAACTTTGTTGGGTGAAGTCAAACCATTTTAACTTTTAGTTCATTTGGGGCCTGTCAAAGTTGTTTACAATTTAATGCAAAACTCTCCATATAAAGGAAAAAAAATATAACCAATTTAAAGTTCTCTCCCATTCTGATTCAGGTTCCTAGTTAACTGGTTATAATAAGATCTTGTCTTTATTAGCAATGTAACATGAGGGGCTCAGTTTTAGCTCAAAAAATTCTCTTAAGAAGACAAACTTATAAGCCTGTTGGCTAATCATTGCCTCTAAGAAGAGGCTAAGTGAGTAAATGCATGTGACAGCTGCCCTTTTCAAAATGATCCGTGTGCGTTTGATTTAGTGTTATAGATAATATTTTTGAAAAAGTAAGGTTGGAGCGGTTATTATAAGATATGATTTAAAAATTAACAAAAACGATTTTTAGATTTGTTAATTTATTAAATACTTTTATAATAAAATATTAAAAATTAACAAAAATATCTTTATCTATATATTAAACATCAACAGCTAGCTACTACCCCTGGAGAGTGGTTAGAGTCGTCGCCAATATAGCTTTTTTCAGTCATATCAACCATGGATTTGGTAAAAAAATGTCAGATCTATGGCTAGATCTTGGTTGTTATTGACAACTAGCTACGAGCAAATCTTTGGCTGTAGATTTGATCTTTTTCAACTAGATCCATAGTGGATCTAGTTGGAAAAGGCTAGATCGATGCACTATCTGCCAAATCCAGCCAGTAGTACACAATTATACCAGATTCCGACCGCCTTCCTGTGGTGATAGTTGGAATCTAGAAAATGTGGATGGGTGGAGATGTTTTTGTCAATTTCTAAACTTTTTTGGGGGTGTATTTAGTTAAATTAACAAGCTTAGGGGGTTTAAAAAATTCAATATAACGTAATAATATTTTTTAAAATAGGGAGATAAATGTGTATTTTGGAAATGATAAGGCAAAAATAGGAAACAAATGCACCCAATTGTACTTTCCAAAACAATTTTGGCTGCGTTTGGCCACCTATCATATTTCTATCCTACCAAAAATTTCTCAAAATTCAATCATGTTCTATTCAACTATTTTTAAACCTCTTAGGTTTGTTAATTTAACTAAACACCTTCAACAAAAAAGTTTATAAATTAACAAAAACACCCCCACCCACCCACATTTTCCAGATTCTGACCACCATTGTCGGAAGGTAGTTGAAATTTGTCATAATGGCACACTACCAACTAGATTTGGTCGGTAGTAAATCGATCTAGCCTTTTCCGACCAAATCTACCGTGGATCTGGTCGGGAAGGGCCAGATCTACGACCAATGATTTGGCCATTGACGGCCAGATCTACAGCCACATCTGGTGAAGGCCAGATATTTGGCCACACCCGAAAATGCTAGATTGGTGTACTACCGGCCAGATCCAACCGATAGTGCGCCATTACAGCGATTCCGGCCACCTTCCGATAGTGGTGATAGGAATCTGGCAAATGTGGGTGGGTGGGTGGGGGTGTTTTTGTTAATTTATAAACTTTTTGTTGGGGGTGTTTAGCTAAATTAACAAACCTATGGGGTGTTTTTGTTAATTTTTAAATTATACCTCGTAATAACAACTCAACTCAACCTTTTCAAAAATATTACTTAAAATAATAGTTGGTTTTTTTTTTTCTCTTCTTTGTGACCATAAAAAAAAATAGGGTCAAGCAGTCAATTGAAACTTTTGAGTGTATGATTTAAGAGGTCTTGAGTTGATCTACCTCAACTCCTAATAGGGGTAGCCACTGGATTCTTACCCGGTCATTAACTTTAAGGTCCTGGGGGATTAAATGAGGTGCGCACAAGGTTATTTGGACACTATGATTAAAAAAAAAAAAAAAAAAAGGATATACAGTATAACCTCTTTGTAGTCATAATGTTAGGATCAACTAAATTTATTACTATAAAGAGGTTAAAACTTAATAGATGTGTAATTAAAAGAATTATTGTTTTGATTTTTGATTTTATAATTTATGTTTTAGTAGTATTAAGATTTCAATTCATTATTTTAGTAGTATTAGAATAGTATGAAAATGAATATCAAAGAGTCATTACAAAATTAAGTAATCATATACGATAATTTCACTACGCCAATCAGATAGATATTTATATCTTCCTTAATCATCTAAATGAGCAACAAATCGTGTATGTTTTAACTGAAGAAGAAATCATTACTAGAATTAAACAAGAAGAGGAATGAGATAATCCTAAGGATGAATATAGTATAGAAATACCAAAAGTTTCGTGTCAAAAAGCTTCAAACATACAGTTAGAAATATTTTGGCTTCAACAAGAAGGTGTCCATGCTGGCAACTTATTACGGACTCGCAAGATAAAAGATATGGTAACAACTCTAAAGCATAAATCATTATCTCAGACAACTTTAGATAAATATTTTATTTCATCTTAAACATTTAATGTAACATAACATATATTTTTTTATAATATACATAAAATTATTACTATATAAAGGTAAATTCCTTAAGATAGGACCTAGAAAAACTATAATTTATTACAATGTGAAATTTATTCTTATTTATAACTGTTCCAAGTTATGATCAAAACTTTTTATGACTACATGGAGGTTATTCCTATATGGAGTATCACTATAGATATGTTTTACTATATTAACTTTTAAGTACTCATGTTAAAAGTATTAAAGTTAGATCATTATTACATCTCATAATTTTTATTAAAAGCATAGCACTAAGAGATTATGGATTTTGCGAATACCCACATTGCATAATCTAAGGGTAAAAGGCAAAATATTTAAAGGTCAAGTAATGCTTATGTTTCAATTCCATTATATTTGCTTGGTAATGGAAGTAAAAGAGAAACATGGTAGGATAATGGAAACTATCGATTTGTACAATACAGAGCAGTGCTTTCTGATGATGTAGCAGCAACTGGCAAAGGACAAACCACTTCTGATATAGCAAAGCATATGCTGCTCTATTGCTAATCTGTAAAGCACATGATAATACCAAAAAATTATACAGGACATTTAGATATACGAAAACCCATCAACAAAGTTGAAAAGAAATAAATTAATGTATTAGAACTAGATTAACCCACCCTAATGGAAGGACCACTTGTTGTGTTTGATGGAACAAGGAGGCATGGCAATGGCCCCCAGATTTCTATGGTCCTGCCTTGTTCCGCCCCGTATGGGGCAAGGATTCTCCAGTTTTGCGGGGATAGGGGTAGGGAGAGGGGGGTGCGGGGGGTGGGGCAAAATTTTAGGGTAGAACCAGAACTGATGGGCATCCGGGTGTTTGTTTCGGTTCCTACCCAAAACCGTTTGTAATAGGATAGGTTTCGATTCCAAAAAATTGGAACTGATACTGTACGGTTCCAGTTCCGAATCCAAATCAAAGGAATCGAAGCCAGAACCGGGAACCAAGACTAAATTGATATAATATTAAAGAATAAGGGTTTTTTTGATATTTTGCATATGGGGTTTTTTTGATAGTTTGCATATCATATAAATATATAAGAAAATTTTGATTTTTTTTTTTTTTTGTCTTAGTATCAAAACTCTTATTAATTTTCATTAAAAGATTAGTTTTTCAAAATATTCTTATTAATATTTAAGTTTCACTTATTACTTGATTAAGAAAATTAATATACATTAAGACATTTACGTTAAATAATAGCTTTGAAATGTTTATTATTGGTGAAAATAAACAATTAAATACTTATAATCAAACATCAAACATCAAGTAAATATAAACAATATATTATTTAATGTTTTGCACTCAATTATTAGGGGTGTAATTGTAATTTTATAAGGGTTTATTTATCATTTTTTTTAAAATAAGGGGGTAATTAACGTTTTTTAGGGTACCCGAAATCGATAGTTTCGGTTCCAATTCCAAATCAAAGAAACCGGCCAGTTCAAATTCCTTTGATTTTGGGGACCTGCCCATACATTTTGGACAAATGTAATGCCTTAGCTTAAGTTTAGACGATTAACTTAAGTGTAATTGTCATATGGGCCTATGAAATTCCCTGTGGGGCGGAGACAAGGAATCTCCCGTCATTCCCATAATGGGTCGGGTGTAGGAAATGGGGTCCTCGACCTCGGCCCGCCCCATTGCCATGCCTAGGCACAAGGGACTTTTGAGTGGTCCTTAAACACTTTGTTGATGCTTAATATGGTGAAATTTGAGGTAAGTGTGAAAGCATAGGAATAATTTTCGCGAGAAAAATATCATATAATTATTCTTGTCGGCAAAAGGGGATATAGCCAACCATCTAGTGGATTCTTGAACTTGTGTTTATAGATAGAGAATTACAGAAGATACCATGTATATAATAAGAATCTGTCCAAGAACAAGGAGTAAGACTATTCTCTGACTGAACTTTTAAGCATTGGTGGTGGCCGGTGGCCCCTTATTCATGTGCAAAAGAGTTTTGGATGGATATATATGAGACTTCCTTTAACATAAAGAAACTTCACAGCCCCATTAGGCTCAAGCAAAGCTAAGCAAAGAGATATGAGTTTAACAGTTTGGTTCTGCTGTTTGGTTCCAGTTTTTCATCAAACACATTTTGTCAGAATAAAAAAGATGAAATGAGGTTAGGATAAGATTGAAAAGAGGGTACAAACACAGCAGATAGATTAAGCAGCAGGCATAAAGGTTAAAACTAATAATTCAACTTTTACATACTCTGGCTCCAGGCTACAGCCTACTCCATTTACCCAAAACATAAATCCTACCAGACTAACAGACAAAATCTCAGAGATTACCTATTTGTTTTTCCTTTTTTTTTTTTTTTTTTGATGACTTCTTTCAGGGACTCTCTATTTCTAGTTCACCCCACCCCCCAACTGGCCTCTAAATTACACACTGTATTAGTAACAATAATGACTCAAATATTAATAAAAAATAAAAAAAAGATTAAATGGGATCTGTGACATGACTGATGATTTGAAGGCAGTGGTATGGTGATGACATTACTCTAAGAAACCAGTTTTGGTCAAAATAGCATTCCTCACTTTGCTAAGATCTCTACCTTTCAGTCTCCTTCCAATCCCTTCACACACTGAGAAAGAAGAAATTTTGTTCCTAGCAAGCTTCCTAGCTAACCATTCATGTGGAGGTAACATATCTTCATCATCATCATCATCATCATCATCATTACAAACATCATTAAAACTAATACCAGTATCAACCCGTGAGCCATTTCTTGATGAGCCCAAGTTTGCATTTTTCCCATAAATCTTTGACCAATCAGGGATGTTCATAGGAGCTGATGATTGTTGAACCACCTTGTTGGCTGCTTCATCATGGGCTGTAATTGGCATATTATTATTATTATTATTATTATTAGACCTTGGAATCATTATTGGTGCAGTGGTGAAACGCCATGCAGAAGAAGAAGAAGAAGAACCAAAAGAGTACTCATTAGAGTTCCTTTTAGGACTTGAATCTTCTTCTTCTTCTTCTTCACTTTCTTTCACAAAAGACCACACATCTTCTTCTTCAAAATCTTCATTTCTCATTGATCTTCTACCACCACCCTCACTGTTATTGCTCATAAGACCATATTGCCAGTCTTCCATGACTAAGTCTAAAAAGTTCAAAAAACCCCAAACAAAAAAGCTTCAAAATCAGTTTATGAGCCAAAAACAAGGAAACTGAAAAACCAAAACTAGACCAAAGCAGAGGAAGAGAAGATTTTGAGCAAGTATAGAGTGACTTTGATCGGTATAAATAGAAGAAGCAAAAAGTTAAAAAGTTTTTTTTTTTTACTTTTCCTTTTAAGTTGCAGATGAGTTATTGTCTTGGGAATCAAAAAGGAGAAAGTGGTGTAAGAGAATAATATCAGGAATCTACCTTGCCTTGGTTTTCAATATCCTCCACAAGAATCAGAGCTTTTCAAGGATAAACTCAAAAGGAATACATGTAAAAAAACATAATAAAAACTAACCAGGACAAAACAAGAGAAGCTGTGAAAACCCTTTCATGAAAGTGTCCATATACTTCCAAATAAAATCACAGATTTTCAAGTGCCTCAAAATGGTAGTATCCTGCAACAACAGAACAGGAAGCAGACAACAGAGACAGACTGTATACTATCTTGATGAACCAACCTAGCCCCTTTTTTCCCCCTTCCTTTCACATTTGCGGCTTCTCAAAATAAAAACTTTAAATGGAGAAGAAAACAAAAAAGGAAACAAAAGTTATGGGTTCTGATAGAATCTCAGTTGTCACAAAATCTATATATTACTCTCCTCGAAAAATTAAACTTCTTAGAAGTCAGAAACTTATAGAGGGTTGTAGAGTTTTTGACATGGGGATGCATAGTTGTATCCATTGTGCATTAATAGGACTCATATATATATATATGAAGCACTGAAAAGGCTGGCTTTTGATTGGGAAAGGTGGAGAGAAAGCATTGGCCTGACTAACCTCACTGATTTCCGTAATAACCTTATCCCAACACACTCCAAACACCAACAACTACAACTCATCTCCTGATTCGGCGTTAGCAGTGAAAAAGCTCGGCCACTGAGTGAAAGCTATCTCTCTGGTATATGTGTTAAAGTGCCAACTTTTTTAAGAGCGTTCCTAGAAGAGGGTGCTCAAGGAGGCCAGTAGTAAAAGCATTTAATTGGTTTCGGTTGGATAGTTAGCACATATATATAAATATTGCACAATAACATGCATGAATCTTATAATTTATTGGTTTTATGTATAATCCTTGAAACTTGATTTGATATACCTGTAATCTTTTTTTCTTTTTGGCATCCGGGATACCTGACTGTTTGCATACACATTAACTAATCTTTCAAGACTATAAAGCTAACGGTTAAATAAACTTTCAATGATTATCTTTTATTAATAATAATAAAGATTCAAATTCAGAACCTCTTAAGTAATAATTCTCGAGCAAACCACCAGAGTTAGTTAATGTTGTAATTCAATGTAATGTAATAACATAATATGTGAGGAGGGTGGGCGGTGGGCAGGATGAGGGGTCATGTCTTCTTCTGGTTCCGGACTAAAATCAGCAGGAGGGTCTGTAAACTGTAACTCTGTTGGAAAATGACTCAAGAGAAGAGCGTGGGTCAAGGATTCATGCAGGCATTTCTGATCAACTATAAACTAGGAGTACATCTGTACATCTCCCTCTATTTACCACCTCTCACTTTTTCATCATAAAAATCCAAAGGAAGAGCCAAGACACCCTAAACCATTAACCCCAAATAAACACAATGAAACTTGAAGAAATTAACAAAACTCAAACCCCAAATTGGACTTACGAAAAACTGACAGCTCCCATAAGCTAATCAAACTTTAAGTACTGTTATGTCATTTTCATTAATCAAACCATCTTGGCTGCTAGCCATGGATACAGCCAGTTCAATGATAAAAATAAAAATGAAAGGGCTTAAGCCTACTTAAACAAGTCGTTCTCAAATAATTGGTGTTAACCCTTAGAAAGAATCGATCATGTAAAAGGCAATTTCATTGGATTCATGCAGGCATTTCTGATCACATGTACCTGATCACTCTTTTTCATTATAAAATTCCAAAGCAAAAGCCAAACTCCCTAAACCATAACACCCCAAAACACAATGAAACTAGGAAGAGATTAACAAAACTCAAACCCCAAATGGACTTATGAAAAACTGACAGCTCCATAAGGTAATCAACCTTTAACTTTAACTACTGTTATGTCATTTTTTGGCTGCTAGCCATGCATAAAGCCTCCTTACTTAAACTAGTTGTTCTCAAATAATTGGTGTTTAACACTTAGAAAGAATCAATCATGTAAAAGACAATTATAGCGAAGGTCCTGTTGTGTGGGTGCGTGTGGTACACTAAAACCAGCCAGCTGAGTTTTTCTTCTTTTGATATGAGAATATATTTGGCTGCCAGAGAGGGGACATGCACAAAACCCCACTTAATCTATATTATCATTAAGAGGAAACGTGGCATCAGAATTTAATTAGCTTAATTAATGTTGTTAATTAACCATTGTTCTTGATTCTTCTCATGCATTTTTATTCGTGGGGTTAAATCAATGGATATCTCAAAGGCTTTGTGCTTATAAAATTTAACATTTAAATTAGTGGGTTGCTTATAATCATTTGGTCAACAAATAAAAAAGAACTGAATTGGTGCAAATAAGTTTATCATTTAATAAGTAAAAGTCAAGTCGAAAAATGTAAAAACTGTGGCTGCTGGGATTCGAGCCCAGGTCTCCACGGCCACAACGTGGAATTCTTACCACTAAACTACAGCCACATTGCTCTTACAACGGTTTTAATTTTGTAATAAACTGATATTTTGATTGGAGGTTAAAATAGGGAATCACGCTCTTTAACAATTTTGGAAACATATATATATTTTTTAAAATATATTATAGAGGTTTTTCTATTTTTGTTGAGGGTTTTATAATATTTTTAATGGGGTTTTTGATAATTTGAGAGAAGTGTTTAATAGTTTTCGAAAATTGTTGTTGGGACATTTGCGATTTTTCTCAAAGATAGATGAAATGAAACCCACTTATAAAAACATAATTATGTGATAAAAGACTATAGAGATTCATATTTAGGGTGGGTTTGGTCAAGAATAATGTCCTAATAATCCTCCAATACAAATAGTAATCATTGTAAATTACATACAAGACAATGAACGTTGCTTTACTGTTAACTTGAATGAATCAATTAATAATGTAAAACAAGAATAAAGGTTTCAATGGACCAAAAAACTACCAAAAAGCTTATAATGATGAGAAGAAAGAACCCATATCTACCATCCAAAAAGGATCTTCTTGATTATGTATATAACACCAGAATCCTAGCCCATTGTTTTCCATATTTTCATGCTTATGCTTCGAGGGATTCAGTGGGCTCTGTGTCCTCCACTACCAAACCTTGTTCAATGTTCAGTCACATAACTATCATTTCCACGAAGTGTTGGTCAATTCAAATTTCAATTGCCATCACAAGATGATAAAGCAATTTTGGTGGTTATTAGGCCAAGAAAGGTCCTTTTTTTTGTTTGCATGTGTTACAACAACTTATTATTTGTCAAAGATTCCATTAGATTTTAGTATCTTCATATCTCCAATTCCATGTCAAGTATCAGCAGAAGTGGATACATAAATCCCACCAACTTTCTTAGATGTTCTTGCATTAGCATTTCTATGTCAAAGTTCAGTCATTGATGATAATATTATTATATATGTTCCTGTTGGTGAAAATCTTCTAATGACACCAGAAAATCTTGCCAAAGATCAGATTTTGGCATTGAAAGAGAGCAAAGTGTCGCGTAATTAGTTCTTTGGCTAAGTTCTATGCGGCCTTAACACTAGGCATTAAGTATTTAATGTATATAGACATTTCACTTGGGAGATTTATCCTATAAATAAAGCACTCCACTTTGTAAATGCATAATGTGTAGGATCTAAAATTTCCAGTAATAGAGTTCACAATTTTCTCTATACTCTCATCCTACTCATTTTTATTACTGCTAGTTTTTGAGTTTGTGTGAGTTTAAGGCTACTTAACACCATCTCCTAGTGTTAAGGCCGCACAGAACTTAGCCAAAGAACTAATTACACGACAAAAGTCTTTAGTTTTCAAAGTTATTTTAAAGTCCAAGGACCCTGTTTTGTCCATTCCTTCCATCAAAATGTGATCTATAACAATAGAAATTAGAAAGTAGCATGGTTTAAGTCACATTTCACATTCAACCACTAGCAGATAAGTGGATTCAATTGATAGAGCTTGGATGTTTTAGGTGAAGAACATTTCCCTGAAGGTAAAAAAAAATCGGTGTGGACTTAGAACCCAAAACAAACAATATCTATTTGGAGAGACTTGAAATGTAATAATCTAGATATGCTTATGCTGTAAAGACACTACCTTTGCGTCGAAAGATCAATAATGCCACAAAGATTTCATGTAACATGTACAAATGCAACATAACTGGGAATCTGCAGATAACAGCAGAATCCTAAATATAATATCTGCACCATAGTGGGCAAAAGTTACCATTCAACCAAATATAATTATGTGCCCCCTCATACATTGATGGGGTTGTTATTAATGAAGTAACAACACTGAAGATACAAAAGCAGTGGTTTAATTGGGTATTAAAATTTGAACATGATTATCAAAATCATCACCATTTAGCCTGGAAAAACATTTTCTTGTGGTTGGTCAGCACCACTTCATGTATTAATCTAGAAATGTTGTTTAATCAATTGAACTTTGATACCAAGCTCTAGAAAGACTGATAGCAGGACCAAAATAAAGTTTCTGGGAGAAATTTAAGCTGTCTGCAATATCAGGAAGCAAATGCTGGATTAAAGTTCATAAAAGATTTTTTCTTTTTTTTTTTAATTTCCATTTCTTTTATTCTTGATTCACTTTTTCATTATTCTGAGACATGAGGTAACAATGATCTGAAAAATACAATATCGTGAAACTGACCTACCGCTTTATGTTACACAAAATTACTTGGGTCACCTTGAAAGAATCTGACTGGTAAACTATATGCAATTATCTGAATCTGTACAAGCTACGATGGGAATTATCTGCAGCACACTCTCCGTGCATAATCAATATTTGCGAGCCGAATGGTAAAGCTCCATGTAGTCAAGAGCAGGCCGGTTCCAAGACCAGTCTTGCTCCATCACTTTCTTGCGTAAAGAGTTAAACCATTCCCGAGCATCATACCAAGCAGATATAGCCCTGAGGAATCAACTTCTAATGAGAACTTCATAAGGAATATAGTACATCTACATAAACTAATATGTGCGTGCATGAGTGACAGAGGGCATGCACGCCCACGTGTGTGTGAGAGAGAAAGAGAATATGACACTAAAAATTATTTTACCATGGTATAGAACAGCAGTAGCTGATAAACTATGAAATAACAAAACGTTAAAATGCTTTCAGTAGAGGACTCCAAAACAGTAAATGAAAGAGTAATACTGGATTCTTCGTTGTACAAAAGGGGCCATTTTAGCAGCCCACATCAAGATTGCACTAAAAAAATGAAGAAACAAGGACTGAAACTTATTACAATTCTGCTACAAGAGAAATATATACTTACCAACTTTGTTGAACAAGAAATAAATTACTCACCTATTGAGAGCATAATCCACTCCAGCAGTATCCGCGCCATCAAAACTAAATCCATTTGGTTCAAGACATTGGGCTTCTGCTCTCTCTTTATCATGGTCAACATCAAACACAGTGTCATAAAGTCCTACAGAAGAAATAAATTGAAAATGTTCAGTCAAATATACTAAATTTGCGAAGGTATTAACGAGGGTCAATAAACATGATAGCAGTATGATAAACTTTAAAAAGATTAGTTAGATGCAAATTTCCGAATTTGGATAATTTAAAAGAATAATAAACATTGAGGTAAAGGAAAATCATGAATCAGCATGAATGGCAGGGAAGACGTATTAGAAAACACAACACCGGTAAGATCATGTTCAAATTGGGAAGAATGATAAACAGACCTGTCAAATAATGCAGGCATTACTTTAACAAGGAATCAGTAACTAACTGGCAAACTAATGAATCATCCATTCTAAACCATATATTCATGATTTTCATAAAGGAAAAAGGGAAACATTAAGGGCCATTCCAGAAATTCCAGTAATTACATTACACATCTCATTTTAGATTTGAGATCAAAAGCAGTTTGAGAAGTATTCTAAATCACAGATCAGATATATCAGAAACTTGATATGATGTATTCATTGAAAGGATGACTTTCTAGGTACAAACCTCCAGTTTTCCGAACAACGGGTATTGAACCATATCTCATGGCAGTGAGTTGTGTCAGTCCACAGGGCTCAAAAATAGAAGGAACTAGAATGAAATCTGCTCCAGCATATATCTGTTATGAAGTCCAAGTATTAAATTTGGAATTATATTGTAGATACAAAATATCACAATGTAAAAGAAGGGAAAAGAATGAAGTTTGAAGCTCCATGAGAACATACCAAGTGTGAAAGTGGCTCATCATAGGTCAAACAAAGACGAGCACGGTCAGCATGACTAGAATGCAATTGATTGGCTAAATCAACAAAATCATTCTGGATACGAGGATCTGGAGCAGAACCAAGCAATGCAACCTGGCATCACATGCTTGGTCAGTATAAACATGAAAATGCTAACAATTAACCTCTCACGGTCAGTGGTGTCATATGTATTGATACATGACAAGAGAAACATAAATGTTAAGGAAAGACGAATGAGGAAAAAAAAAAAACCTGTCCATTACGCTCTATGGTGTGCCAAATAGCATGCTTGATGAGATGGATACCTTTCTGATGTGTTAAACGAGAAATAATTCCCACTAAAGGCAGATCAGCCTTTTTCAAACCAACCCTTTGCTGCAAGGCTTCCTTGGCAGCTCTTTTGCCTTCATCAACATTTTCTGAAGTATATGACACCTGGAGTGACATGCTTCATATATTAGCCATAAATTTACTTTCTGAAACAGTGATCCAAAGCTACAAAAATAAATAAAGCAAAGCTAGTTATACAACCACACAGAAACGACAACATAGGCGTTTGGTTGCAATGTTTAATCTATAACAAAAATTAAACTCATTGACATATAATGTGTCTTCAAGTAAGAAGTTAATTCTCACTGCAAGCAGGTTAACCTCCTTATATATGTCTGTCAGCTAAAGCATTCAAAGTCATCAAATTAAAGGACTTTCTCAGGTACTTTATTCACAATTAAGTCGATTGCGTAACTCATGCATTTGTGCCTCCACACTTCCGTTAGACAAACATACAATGATCCAAGTAACTTGATGGTTTACACTCAAATGAATCACACATTTATGTGAGACCTTTCAGCAAACTTTATTTAAGAGGTTATTTTCAGCCCAATAATTTACCCAAAAATAAACCTAATCTCGATTCGCATTAAGTACCTATCAATTATGAAATCAGGCACATTGCAGAAAAAGTCAAATGCCTAACAATGATGTATGCAAGTGAGGTACAGACTTTCCCCTTACCTAGATTTTACTGAACATCATCATCAACTTTGACATAAAATTCTGCATCCCATGTGCAACAGCAGTGGAGAAGTAAGTCTTAGTCTTGGCGGACAATCCCAGGTAGCCCTCAGTATGTCCTGCTCGTATAATATGAACAAACACGGACACCAATCAGAATTTTCTTCTGGTCTTCATTAAGATTACTAGACTCTGATTGTAAACACAGATAACACCATTAAAGGAACAGAGAGAAACATCACCGCGTCAAGAGTCCGTGCATAATTTCCTCTGCTTCAATAGCTCTATCAAGATACCACCTGATGTTGCACTATATATATCCCATTGATTAATGAAACAACTTTTTACTCTTAACAGCAAAATTATAGAGCACAACTAGAGATTCAGTATTTAATAACTTTTCGATAATATAAAGAGGATTCAACTGGAACTCAAGGATCAATTCATGGTTTACAAGCTAGAACAAAACATTATTTGGGTAACATGATTTATACCATTTTTTCACAATTTGTACAAATTTTTGCATCAGAGAATAGGCTTAATTGTAGGCTAGTTCTAAACCCACTTTTAGAAGGCAAAGAAAAAGAATGTAACCAGATTTGTGATATTTTTCAAAGCTAAGGCTCAATATTTCATCAGTTCATTGATGGAAAATATAACATATCAACAGAGGTATTTACCCAGATAATCTACACAGAAAAGGTATTCCAAATCTCACCTGTACCTATAACAAATCGTATATGATGCCTTTCTCTTCCGCCACCTTTTTCGTTTTTCACCTATTGTTGTTATAGTAAATTCCATTTATCACACATTAATGAATGGCAAACAAAATAGCATATAATAACAGGAAGAAAATTAGACAAATATATACCTAATTGATGCACCTTGTGGCATCCAGGTTTCACGAACTGAGTCTCTTCGTTTTCTGCTACTAAAAGCTGTATTTATTCCAATCACCTAAAGTACTTTCTTTTTGAAGGTGATTGATTTTTCCTTTTACTGGAGGACTGTGCAACATAGACTCATGCTCAGCTCTAGCAGCACCTAATTTCCTCTCTAATTCTGAAATTTTATATACTGTTCCCTGCATTCAGAATGTAGTCACTCAAAAAAGAATACTACATCTTATAAAATAATCTAGTTTAACATGCATTAGAACAGCTTCTTAATAGCATCCTGACTGTCGAACTACCCCCAACTGTTGTTGGAATTATGTTTTACAACCTTATTAATAGAAAAAAGAATATGAAAACATCAGTAGCGATTTCAAGAAGAAGTGAGATCACATGTAACAATAACAAGCAAAATAGAGCATTGAGTTTAGAATGTAAATTAAAGCAACACCACTAGGGTTATGATGGCAGTTTTAGTGATCAGATAATCAATAGTGTGAAAAATAGTAATTAGAAACAAAGCATGTGTATTGACCATTAAATCATGATTCGCCACCCTTTCAGCCATGCCCATTAAAAAAAGAAAAGAAAACAGAAAAAAAGTATCTGCCGAAGCAAATTCTTCCAGAAATGGATTCCGAGCACCACTTTCACTTTAATATGATTTTTTGAAAGAAAAGATCAATATATATTATGAGACCAGAAAGCAATATTTTTCAAAAGAAAATAACATTCCATTTGTTAAGTAGTTCAAAGTATGATGAGACTTGTGATCTGTAATGGAGAAAAAAAATTCCACAGGCCACCAAAAGTCACCTTCTACAAGTCAGACTTTAGATATAACTTAAGTATTCAAACTGCAAAATCACATCTTCAAATCTTAGCTGTAGATCAGGAACTGAGATTTGAAGGGTAGCGTGACAGATTCACTCACAAGATCAGTATAACACCCCTTCGACTGTATCCCTTCATCTTCAGTTTGATTCGTGCAATGCCTTTAACTTCGGGCATAATCTGAACCCGTGACACAATATTTCTTGATTTATAAGCATGGATAGTAAAAAACCCAGCCAATTTGTGAAGTAACTTGAGCATTTACGGCAATCAACAGCCAAAAAAAAAATTGAAGCCAAAATTAACTAACATATATCTCAAAAGAATAATGGAAGATCCAAAATACAAAAACTGGTCACCTAAATAAAATCTTTTTCATTAGCTATTTTATCGTTCTGGAAATGAAACAAACACCTCCACTCAACTGAGCCAACTCAAACTAACTTAGTTGACCTGCATTTTAATAAACATTCAGCAGAAGAAACCAGACAACCTAACATTTAGAAGTTTATTCCTTTACCAATGTTTCCCAGCCACAGCAATCCGGGGGAAAAAGAATGTACTAACAAAGATTACAACTTTGGCTTACTTCATGAAATCGAGCACACTAATTTGGAAAAAGTGAAAGAACAATTAAACTAAGAACTTAGCAAAGAAAGTGCATGGGCTGCTTAAATTGGCTATAATATCAATGTGATTTCACACTACCCAAATTTAAACAGCAAAACAATAATGAATCACAGTATCTGGCAACAAAATAGCAAGTAATAATAGTAGTTCGCAATCAGAGCACATTAAATCAACAACCACATGATCCGAATTATCTTTTCGTAATAAAAGAAGATACACAACAATGGTTTGCCAACAAATCAACAAATATCAAAAATTCACAAACTCCTAAAACCAACTAACAACAGCAATTTCTTCAGATCCTTTTCATAAATACATCTATTCTAAGAATGCGTGAGGCCCACTTGGAAATCCAAACTTTACTAAAAAAAAAAAAAAAAAAACCACAAAAATTAACTAAAAAAAGAAGAAAAAAAACTATAATTCAAAGTAAACAACAAAACCCAAGAAGAGAAATTACCTATTAGTGAAAAACATCCCAGCGCTGAAGCAGCAAACACAGAGAAAAAGAGCCATTTCCTTGACACAACATTCTTCGCGACAAATTCTCCTCTACTCTTCAAATACATTATTATTTTTTCTCCTCACTTCTCAAAATTATTCAATGAAAACAGGAAATTTTAATATTTCGGCGTTGTTTGTTTGAAACTCACACTGTTCTTCCTCAAAAGATGAACAAGCTGAAAGATGCACAGTGTATAGACCAATGACTGCCCCTTACAACCCCAGTTTGACAAACCCGACGTTAGTTTCCATAAGAGTAATGAAGTATATGTTGGACTTTGGACACTAACTAGGAGTAGTTTTTACTTTCATTTAGAACTAGCCTGTAACTTTGTAGGTCAGTCAAACCATTTTAACTTTTTAGTTCATTTGGGGTCTGTCAAAGTTGTTTACAATTTAATGCAAAACTCTCCATATAAAGTAAAAAAAATATAACCAATTTAAAGTTCTCTCCCATTCTGATTCAGGTTCCTATTTACTGGTATAATAAGATCTTGTCTTTATTAGCAATAGCTTGATGGCTCAGTTTTAGCCCAAAATTTCTCTTAAGAAGACAACTTATAGCTTGTTGGCTATCATTGCCTCTAAGAAAGGCTAATTGAGTTCATGTGGCAGCTGCCCTTTTCAAATGTGCATGGGTTTGTTTAATATTTGGATAGTACTTTTAGAAAAATCGAGTGAGTGATTATTTGGAATATTGATTTAAAAATTAATAAAAACACATTTTAGATTTGTTAATTTACTAAATATCTCTGTAATTAAAAAAAATATTAAAATTAATAAAACCTCTATCTATCTATGAAATATTGACAGCCATTCATACTTTAGAGATGGTCGAAGTCATCGATTGTGTACCGATATGACTTTTCCAACAAATCCAATAGATCTGATTGAAAAAAAGGCCGATTTATGCTAGATCTAACCTTGCGACCAGATCTGGCCGCGGTTGGTCGTTACACGACGACCATATCTAGCTGTTTGACACTAGCTACAAGCAATCTTTGGCCGTAGATTTGACATTTTCGATCAGATCATGATGGATCTGCTGGAAAAGACTAGATCGTGCACTACCGCCAAATCCAGTCAATGTGTGCCATTATACCAGATTCCGACCACCTTCCGGCAATGATGGCTGGACTGAAATGTGGTGGGGGGGGTGTTTTGTCAATTTCTAACTTTTTTGGGGTGTTTAGTTAAATTAACAAGCTTAGGGGTTTAAAAATAATTAAATATAATAATATATTTTCAGATAGGGAAACAAATGTATTTTGGAATGATAGAATAATAGGGTAAAATAGAAACAAATGCACCCAATTGTACTTCCAAAACAATTTTGGCTGCGTTTGGCACCTATCTAATTTCTATCCTAACCAAAAAACATATTTCTTGTCTCAAATTCAATCCTGTTTTATTCAACTATTTTTAAACCTCTTAGGTTTGTTAATTCAACTACACGCCTCCAATAAAAAGCTATAATTGAAAAACACCCCTACCCACCCCCCATTTGCCAGATTCCCCACCATCGTCGGAAGGATTTTAGATTCCAACCACATCGTC